ACTGGAAGGAGAGAGCATGAAATTTAATGTGATGTTACTTCTTCTTTATTTAAATTAAACTGAAAGTTCTTAAAACCGCAAAATGAGACAATCTTAGTAGCTGAAAGCCCTTAGAACACAGTTGGGGCTGAGGCTGAAGATCAGTTGGCAAATATTCAGAGAACAATTGTGGGAGAAGACTCAAAACTATTTTATGTTTAAACTCTACAGTAGAGTTTATAGATATGTTTACCCTGATTGACCATTATGCAGTGTACACATGTATAGAAATATCACATGACACCCCAGAAATATCGAGTTTATATGTGTTTGTGAAAAATATGTTTTTTAAACCAGACATAGAACTATAATGTAGTGCAGAGAATGTAAAGACTAGGAAAGTTTTCATCTGACTGTCTACTTGATATACCCATTTGATGGAGCACTGATCTCTTAAATGTAGAAACAAGATTTTTCCTTGTATGCCTGCAATATGTGTTTGACATTTTCCATTTTAGACTTAAAAGTGAATGATAGGCAGAATTAATGTACTAAGCAAATGGAGAATTGTTTAAATTTGGAAAAAATATTTTAAGCATTATCTTCCATCCAGCATTTCGTTTTCTCTACTTTTGCCCTGCTGTGTATAAGAACCAAACAAATGACTACATGGAGGAGCAATATCAACATTCACTTACAAACTGATTATTTGTTAGAGAAGAATGAAACAGCAGCAAGGGAAGGCCATCCACACAGTGGACAGGGAGATGTAGAGGAGATGCATGCTCTGTACTGTGTGTCACACTGACTATAAATTGTTCTCATGACTGTCAAGCTATGCAGGCAGGCCAAGGAGGGGTGTGAGGGCCCTTGACCTGCAATGGAGACGTCTCCTGGGAGGGGCATCTTGGAGATGCAGAACTGTGAGCCAACCAGAAGCTGGATGTTTCTTATTATAGCAATGCAAATATTTTTAATTTGAAAGTGTTTCCCCCTTATGAAAAGTTAATTATACTGGATTACTATTGCATAAATTTCCATTTAATAAAATACTAACTTATTTAAATTAATGACAATGGTGATAGTAATAATGATAAAATAGTTAATTATATTGAGATTTTTACTACAAGCCATGCAGAATTCTGAGTTTTTTACATGTATTATCTTCCTTAACACAACAATCAGAAGTAGTTTGTGATATTATCCCCATTTTATAAATGTGAAAATCAGAGCCTTAGATGATCATGCTTATGTTCAAATTGCTAGGAAATTACATAGTAAAGCACTAATCCTGATCTTGTAATTACTGGTAAAAGTTTGTCTATCTGTATTATATATAGTTCATTAAAATTTGAAATAATAAAATTAAAAATATTAAGATTTTATTTTGCATATAATAGAAATTTTATACTAAAGAGAAGATAAAACCTTTCTGACAAATTATGTTGTTAGTTCTATTTTCTCTCCATTTCATTTATTTTTCAAAAATACTTATTTTACTTATTTGAAAGGCAGTTACAAAGAGAGGCAGGGACAGAGAGAACGATCTTCTATATACTGGTTCATTCCCCAAATGGCCATAATGGCCAGGGATGGGCCAGGCCAAAGCCAGGAGACAGGAGATTCATCTGAGTCTCCCACATGCATGCAGGATGAAAGCTCTTGGACATCTTCCACTGCCTTTCCAGGCTCATTAGCAGGGAGATGGATCGGAAGCCGAACAGCCAGGACTTGAACTGGTCCCAAATGAAATAGTGATGTTGCAAGCAGCAGGTTAATGCACTACGCCACAATACTGGCCCCTCACTTATCTTTTAATAGTTTATTATGAATAGAATACAAAAATTCAATTAAACAAATAAATTTCTGTTCTGTATTCATTCTATATATTTTTACATTCCGATATATGTATATGTGTTTATTTCAGATTAATTTCCTAAAAACGTACATATTTCTTTTGAGTGCTACATTTTAAAATATTTACATTATCCTATCCCAAACTTATGTATTGTTTTGATGATGACACATTTTGAAAAGGAAAGTTTTATCTACCTAATCAATTAAACTTGCAAGAAAATTGCACTATAAATATATATGTATTAAAAAATATGTATTTGTATTACTATTTTAGCATTCTACCACTAAGAAGTTGAACTTAAGTAATTTATCTTGACTACCATGAGTGTTTGGATGACCAGAAAATTCAAAATATACCCTAGAAGAAAACTGCAATGAAAGATTTTTTTTTTTTTTTTGCATGTGGAAAATAAACATTTCTGAGGTGGAATTTCGTCAGAATTTCAGATATTCAAGTAAATAAGAGCATTGTAAAGAGGCATAAAACGTTCAGCTCAACCTTGTTGATGCGAGGCCTTTTCTCTCAGGAACAGCCCTGTCAATTTCCCAAGTTTAGTTGGTCCATTAGAACAGGCTCATCTTTTAAAATAGAGGCTATGTGCTTAATAGCAGCAGAGTACGTCGCTTGAGAGGGTTTCTCAGGATATTGGTGTCCCTTTTAATCTGTGCTGCCTGACAAAACAGGCACAAAACTGAACACTTGGTTCAACACCATTAGTAGCTCTAGCCCTCTGTGATACCAGGTACAAGAAGCAGTACAAGCCTTCCTCAACTCACTTTCAGAGAAGAGTACTTCCTGCATTTTTCATGCTATTTCTCTTCGCTTCCATAAGATTTTAATGGACTAAAGTATGTCATGTATATAGAACTCTTGATAAAATGGAGACACAACCAGTGCATGGCTGAATTAACTACAGAAACGGACAAAGACGTCTTTGAATGCAATTAGTCATCTGAGTAGAATTTAGCTTGAAATGTAAAAGTGGTTTTCTAAAATGCTTTTTAATAGTGCAAGGAGATTTGTATTATAAGAAGTTTAAAAGAATTACTCATTTTAAATGGATTATTTATTTTTTGATATGAATATTTATAGAGAACCTGTGATTTAGGCAGTAATCTTTGTCTTTGTTTAAACATAATTAACAATATGCAAAGTAAGGCAGTGCTTTTTAAAATTATGTGAGCGTAAGTATTACTATTGGCAGTCATTTCAATATCTGCATATTGCATACATAAAATGAGGAAGGACTAACCTGTTCTGCTCTTAATTAATGAACACCTGTACACAATGAAAGCATGGTTGATTTAATGGATGCCTGAAAACCCAATCAGGCAATTAATCTTCAATTTAAAACTCACTATTGAAAAGGTAAGAGGAAGAACAACGTGTAATAGGCAAAGTACAAAAGCAGAAAAGTTGAATTTTCTGTAGATGAATCTTTCCAAACATTTATGCTATTTTATATTTTATTTTCTTGGTTATTTAATTTTCATGTGGAAAATGTCTGAATATCTATGTAGGATTATTTCGACTTAATGAAATAAATTGACCATTTTGGAAATTCTTTAAAAAAAAAAAACCAAAAGCATGTTTTAGAGACAGAATCACCTCCCAAGTGTAGTTTATTTTAATAATTATAAGATTTGCTTAATTTATTATAAGTAAAAATCATATTTAGTCCCAATTGATAATTGTGATACAAAATGGCTGCAATTCTGTCTCCTCAATATACCTATGTTTCTGACCCATGTACTGATATGGGCAGAGGTGTACAAAGGAAAGGAAAAGAATATTCCCTTTTAAAAAAGGACTAGATGCCAGCACCGCCGCTCACTCAGCTAATCCTCCACGTGCGGTGCTGGCACCCCAGGTTATAGTCCTGGTTGGGGCGCCAGATTCTGTCCTGATTGTTCCTCTTCCAGTCCAGCTCTCTGCTGTGGCAGGGAGGGCAGTGGAGGATGGCCCAAGTGCTTGGGCCCTGCACCCACATGGGAGACCAGGAGGAAGCACCTGGCTCCTGGCTTTGGATGGGTTCAGTGCGATGGCTGTAGCGGCCATTTGGGGCGTGAACCAATGGAAGGAAGACCTTTCTCTCTGTCTTTCTCTCTCACTGTCTAACTCTGCCTGTCAAAAAAAGAAAAAAAAAAGGACTTGTTCTTGTTGAGTACCTGCGTCAGACCCTGTTAGAGGGTCCAATTAGAGAACTGTCAACAAAACAAAAATCTTCATTCTTGGTGCATTTTTATTTGAAATTTACACATTAGTGAATAAAAAACTTTAAAATTTTTTTTTCTCCTGATATCTGATGCCCATTCCCACTCTCCCTGCAACATTCCTATATTTTTTTACATTATTCTTGTTGCCATTATTGTTTTTGTTCCCCTAAGCAAGTCTCTTACCAGATACTTTCTTTACACAAAGTTTTAGACAGATAGAAACATAAAAGATAGATCTCAATAAGACATTGTCCGAAGTAACAGAAAATTTACCAAAATTCCTTTATTCTCCTGTTCTTTCCAGGGGATATGCAAAGTATCTTAAAATCTGTTTTTAACAAGCTATTAATTCCTTTGATGTGGTTATTAGAAACATATTTTCAGAGGTACTTATTATAAAAGACCAGAAGAATTCTATGTTTCTGAAGTCTGGGAGCAGATGGTAGTTATTTTACACAAAGACCTCAAGAAGGCAGGGGGTCAAAGAAGACCGTATTTGTCTTTGAAAACTGTAATTTATAATGGGTTTAGTGGTGAAGAGCAACATAACAGATTTCTAGGAAAGTAGCCTGTAATTAAGTGAAAATGTTATGACTGGAGGAAAGGGTGAGCTGATCTATTCTGAATTTTATGGATATGCTTATTCAATGAGTATATAATTAGATGAATAAATTAACTGCTTTAATTTCATGGTAACTTGAAGATTGGTACAAGGGTTGGGAGAAACTGGAAGTATCTAGACACCTGTATTTTTGCAAGGAAAGAGAGAGGTCCTGAATGAGTAAAATGAAATAATTGCTTTAAAGGGCATGATTTTATGATGTCTAGGTAAATGAATCAGGACACATTATGCTAAGACAAGCAGTGAAGCAACCATGGTTAATTCAACTTGCATTTAAAGTGATTAGTGTCATATAAAATAAAATTCTAAGTCTCAAAATTCTTACCTGCCTCATTTGTGCGTATCATTCGAGATGGCGTACTTGGATCTCCTGTCCCAATGGGATTTGTGGCCACCACTCGAAATTCATATTCCACCCAGGGATTTAAGTCCACTGCCATGGCTGATTCCATGTCTCCTGTTATTATTTCTGGAACTATAAACATGAAGATTTCATACCATTAGGGTGCTACAACACATGCTACAAATAGCCATCAAGGGCATAGCAGCTACTGACAGAATCAGCAGCTGATTGTATCCTTTATAACATACAATCAGGACATCACTGCCCATGTTATTTGCAAAATGAAAATCAATTTTCAGGAAGTGAGTATGTATAAACATCAGAGTCTCTTGGGGATACGTGGAATTATTCCATCTCATTTTTACACACAACTTGTCATTGTATAATTTGCCACTTTCTACAATAAAAATTATGTTCTTAACCTCTCAGCCCCTGATAAGCCAAGAATTACTTTAATCAGAGTTTTTCTTTAATTTCTAGAGATATTTCTTAAACAGTTTGCCCCTCTCAGTTTTGACAAAGCTGTTCAATCCCTCAAAGTTAAAAGCTGAAAATTCAAAACCTACTACTAAAGACTATCATTTGTGGGCTCTATGGAAATTCTGAACTCTCTATGGAGTGGCTTGGGTACTACATCTAGATTGTTACCACAGCATAATTGTCACTGTTGTCAATACAGTTACCACATAGGAAAATATCTTTTGTATAACCATGTGTGTTCTTTTTGAGACTCCTTTTTTATTCATTCATCTCTACTGTCTAGGAAATCTATTTTTTTAATTTATTTATTTGAAAGGCAGAGTTAATGAGAGAGAGGTCTTCGTCTGCTGGTTCACTCACTCCCCCAAGAGGTTGAAGCTGCCAGGGCTGGGGCAGCCTGGAGTCAGGAGCCTGGAACTCCATCTGGATCTCCCACATGGATGTCAGAACCAGCACCCATATGGGACACCAGCATTGCAGGAAGAGGCTTAATCCACTGCGCCACAGTGCCAGCCCCTAGGGAATCTTTCTAGAAGAATGTTTGTCACAGGGGTGAAAGGAGAGATGTAGAGAACCTCCTTTAGGATATGTAAAGATTCCCTGGATTTTTGTTAGTTCTGGGATGCTTTGTAAGCTGGGAGCCGAGACTGGGTGGCAGAACTCTGGGTGTGATACATCAATTCATATTTACTGTGGCAGGGTGGAATTACATCATCTTGGGTTTCCCATGGAAGTCTATTCTGAGTTGTGTCAAAAGAACATTGCTGGGGCTGGCACTGTGGCCTGGCGGGTAAAGTTGCAGTCTGCAGTGCCGGCATCCCATATGGGTGCTGGTTTGAGTCCTGGCTGCTCCGCCTTCCAGTCCAGCTTGCTGCTATGGCCTGGGAAAGCAGCAGAACATGGTCCAAGTCTTGGGCCCCTGCACAGCGTGGGAGACCCAGAAGAAGCTCCTGGCTCTTGGCTTTGGATCAGCCCAACTTTGGCCATTATGGCCATTGGAGAGTGAGCCAATGGATGGAAGATTGACTCTCTCTGTCTCTGTGTGTCTCTCTCTCTACCTCTCCTTCTGTGTATCTCTAGCTTTCAAATAAATATATCTTTTTTTTAAAAAAAAGAACATTGCCTAATTAACAGCCCTGTGAATGGTAAATTGTCAGATCATGGGCAGTGTAGGCTGCCTGACAAATCTCTCAGCACAGTAGGCATTGCCTTTTTTATTTTTTATTTATTTTTTTATTTTTAAGCTGTGACACGAGGACAGGAGAACAAAATTTGTCCCCTCATGCTATACTGGCACCTGAGAAAAATCTCTGGAGTCTAAGACATAGCAGGAAGTGCCATTGGTGAGTTTATTTTTTGGTGAAATGCTGAGCTATCCTACCAGACATAGATGTCAAGAAGAGGTTCCCAGACACTCAGCCCTCTCCAGCCTCCAACCTATAGGAGATGACCAATACTTGTCGTGGCTCCACACAGGATTCTTCTCACTGTCTCATTTGCTTGTACTTGTGTCCGTCACCTCGGACATCTCCACATATCTGGGCCATCCCTCATATCTTCTTTTCAAATCAACACGAAATTCTGCAGATTTTCTCACCCATCTAGCTTGCATCTCTTTGTAATTCTTGAAGTGCTTCTAACTGTGACTTTTAGAATTCATGATCTACTATGAGCCAGATCTTTGTATTCAATCTCCTCTCTGAATATTCCTCTAAATTTTCAGTCTAATGCAAACTGAGGGGTGGCCTTCTGAAAACCTTAGGGAGAAGGATCAGTGCTCTTCTTTCCCCACAGCTGTCTAATGAATGTTTGCCCTTGGTGTTTAGTCAGGGGCATGCAGTTACTTTTTCCTGTGAAAATAAAGAGCAAAGCTCTCTTTGTGGCTTTGATTTGTATATTCTTTTTTTTGACAGGCAGAGTTAGACAGTGAGAGAGAGAAAAACAGAGAAAGGTCTTCCTTCCGTTGGTTCACCCCCCTCCCCAAAATGGCTGCTATAGCCGGCGCGCTGCACCCATCCAAAGCCAGGAGCCAGGTGCTTCCTCCTGGTCTCCCATGTGGGTGCAGGGCCCAAGCACTTGGGCCATCCTCCACTGCCCTCCCTGCCACAGCAGAGAGCTGGACTGAAGGGGAGCAACCAGGACAGAACCAGTGCCCCAACTGGGACTAGAACCCCGTGTGCCAGCGCCGCAAGGCGGAGGATTAGTCTAGTGAGCCACGGCGCTGGCCTTTGTATATTCTTGATTAATAGTATTGAGCACTTTTTCATGGCCATTTGTATGCCTTTAAGTGATACCTTTTTATATCTACTGCCTTCACTCAGAGTCTCTATTTTTTTAAAAATAAAGATTTATTTATTTGCAAGGCAGAGTTAAGAGAGAGAGAGGGAGAGTGAGCTATTTTCCATCTGCTGCTTACTCTCAAATGGCTTCAACAGTAAGGGCTGGGCCAGGCTGAAGCCAGGAGCCTGGGACTCAATCTGAGTCTTCCCTGTTAGTGCCAGAGCCCAAGTCTTTGGGTATCTTCAGCTGTTTTCCCAGGTGCATTAGCCAGGAGCTGGATTGGAAGTGGAGCAGCCAGGACTTGAACTGGGATCTATATGGCATTCAGGCGTTGCAGGCGGTGGCTTAATTCACTGTGCCATAACTCCGGTTGCCTGGTTTCTCTATAGGCAGACTTCCTCAGAGAAGTTTTTGCTATTTGCCTATCATCTCCAAATATCTTCCATTCTGTCCTGAAACTGCTCCAATCAGGGTCTTAACTCCAGCTTTCTACCTGCTCCCCTACCCGCTCCAGCTGAAATTACAAATGTTCTCTGTTATTAAAGCCTTATGATCAGCTGTTTATTTCTCATCTTATTTGAGCTATCATCATCATTTGATGAAGTTTATCACTCTCTTCCCTTTCAAACACTTTTTAAAACTCCCATCTCTGTCTTATCTGAGTACATATTAGTCTCCATTTCTGATTTCTTCTTATTTTCCAGAAGGAATATAGTTCTACTCCTTCCCTTTTTCTTAAACTGTAGTGATCTTGTGTAGTCTCATGGCTTTAAACACCCTCTAGATTTTGATGATCACAATACTTTCAGCCATGAACCTTCCCTAGACTCCAAACTCTTATGTCCAGTGGCCTGCTAGGTCTTTCTTTCTGAATAAGTTCGTGCATTATTCTTATTCCAGAAGTTATAGTTGTTGTTTTACAGATATGGTAGTACCTTCCTGGAATCCTTTACCTTGTTGCCTCTAATTCATAAGTAAATGATGGTATCTACAACTTCAAAATACCAGGGGCCTCAAAAACTTCATAAAATGTGTATCATAAAAAAATCCATGCATGCCTTTCAAAAAATTTTACACCAAAGTAAATTTATACTTTAATTCATTTTTCCAAAAACCTTCTGAAGTGCCCTCATATGTTAATTTTTCCTGTTCCTTTTGCAACACAATTTCTTCAAAGAGTTGTCTCTGTTAATTTTTCTCCCATTCTTTCTTGAATCCATTCCTGTCAGATGTTGATGCCTAACACACCACTAAAACTGTTACTGTGAAGGTCACCAACGACCTTTGTGTGCTAAAATCTGATTAATTCTCAGTCATCATTTTACTCGATGTCTCAACATTTGACACAGTGTTTTACTCTTTCTTCCTTCATGGACTTTATTCCTCCGTCTTCTGGAGCATCACATTCTTCTTCTTCTCCTTTTACCTTGCTGATTGCTTCCCTTCTTTTTTGGCTGATTTCCCTTCACAGCTTACTGTTGTCGTGGTCCAGGACACGAATTTCATACTCCCCTCTGATTTTTACTTATTGTCTTCAGGTTGCCACACAGTTTTATGGTTTTAAATACAATTTACATGTTGATAATTCCTACTCTATAACTTCATTAGCCTCCTATATACAAATGTCTACTTGAAATCCACATTTGGATGTCCGTTAGATCTATCAAACTTAATATGTCTGAAGATGAGCTTCTTATCCCACTTCCTCCCCAGTCTGTTCTAGTCATACATGTCCTTCATGCCAGTTAAGAGTAACTCTGTGTCAGTATACAGTAACCTACCATGAGTTGGTAAGGCCAAATATTTTTTACTTATCTTTGCATTATTTTTCACTTACTTTGTTTTCATTCACAATGTCAGGCAATATTGTGGGTTCTATCTGCAAAATATTATCAAATTCTGACCATTTTTATGACCTCTACTTTTATAGCTCTTAGGCATCAACACCTTTCAATGACAATAATTTCCAGACTGTTTAGTGACTCTCCACCTGTCCCTCCCAGAGTCTATTTCCAATACAGCTTGAATGGATATGTTGAGAGATGACTTAGAACATCAGTCTCTAGTGTCCATTATTCTCAGGATGAAATCCCAAGTCCTTTAAGACTTTGGTCCTGCCAATGTCGCTCCAAACTCATCTTCTACCATTGTCCTCTAAAGTCATTCCACCCAGTGCCTCTCTGGTCTTCTAGTGCTCCTGAATGTAACACTTCAGATACTTTTGCATGGTTGCTCCTTTTACCTGGCCACTTCCTCCTACATATTGTTGTTGCTAAACTACATTTCCTTCAAAGTTCACTCAAACGTGTCTGCTTACTCTAAGTCAAATCGCAACCTGCCTATTTATGTGCAGAATTATATCCTGAAATGCATATGTTGAAATTCTAATCTCTAAAATGGCTATATTTAGATGGGGCCTGTAGTTAAGTAATTTAGGTTGAACAAAGTCATTGGATAGACATCAGATATTAGTGTCTTCGTAACAAGAGACACTAGAGTGATCTCTCTCACCATCCTCTAAGAAGGCAGTTGTCTCCCTAAAAATAGAGTACTTGCAAGGAAACAAATCCACTAGCACCTTGATCCTGTAATTTCCAACCTCCAGACTATATGCAAATAAACATCAGTTGTTTAACTCACCCAGCTGATGATATTTTGCTATGACAACCCAAACTAACATATAGCCCCTGCCACATTACTTTTGAGCCCTGGACTCTACATGATGACTCCTTCCCCAGCAACACACATCAACTTGTAAGATACTAAACAATTATTTTTTCCTGTTCACTATTTGTACATATACATTAGAATAAGATCTTCACAAGGGCATGGTTATTATTTTCATCAGTGTGTATCAAGTGCCTAGACTACTATCTGGTAGATGATTAATGATTTTTTTGTTGAAAGAATGAAAATATGGTTCAATTTTCCTGTTTTGATCAGTATTGCTGAAGTTAATTGTTGTTTGTTGATGTAATTATTGCAGGCTTTCTTTTGCTTACAAGAGGCTGGGAAGGGATTAAAGAGGCCTGGGGAAATCTTGATAAATGGGAAAAAAGTTATAGCTGGATAGGAAGAAGAAGTTCTGGATTCTGTTGCACAGGAAGGTAACTATAGAAAATGTACTACATTTTTCTATTTTAAAAAAGAATAAAGGATTTTGAGTATTTTCTTCATAAAGAATGTTAACTGTATAAGGAGATATATTTACCTGGTTGGAAACTGCACAGTGTATAAAGCTATCTAAACACCACGTTGTACCCCTAAATATGTAGAACTTTTATATGTTGAAAATTTTTAAATAAAAATTAAAAATGCATATTTATGTTAAAAACAAATGCATATAATTAATCTTCTTACAAGGCTACACATATTTACTTGGTCATAGTTATAGGTTGTAAAGATTCCTTCCTCAAGCTCACATCATCTCCAACATCCTTAATTAGGACTTCTATTTAAAGTAAAAAAGGCACATTTGGGAATTCTAAATTCATTGTTTATTTTTTAAACTTTTTATTAATCTAAAGAAAACAGATTTAATGAATTTCTTGGATATAACCAGGAAAATAATCATAATTTCCTCTCTTCCTTCCTCATTCCTACCTCCTTCCTTTTTTTCCCTTTAAATTTCATTGTTTCTTATAAGGACCATAAAATAATTGCAAAAGCATGAATTAAAGATATTATTTAATATGAAATAACATGTAATAGAAAATTAGAAACTTTTAAAAATGAAATTGATCATTTTATTTGAAATGAAGTATTATTTAGATTAATGGAGGGTTTTTTTTTTTCCAAAGCAAGTATTTTTTAAAGATTTGCAGGCATCACTCTCACTCTTCGAACAATTTTTTTTTCTAGAATATGGGGGAAATTTTGTTTTAAGGAAAATAGCAACCAGAGTGGAAGCCCTCATATTGACTCAGGGAAAGAATTTTACTTAAACGTTTTCCCTACTAAATCCTATCCAATAATTTAATTAATAAAACACTAAATAAACCTGTTCAATTGATACATTTAATTAATTGATCAGTCTGTGGAAACACACCTACAGAGAGAAGACATATCCAATGTTATAGGAACATTTAAGAAACTTAGTGAAGTAAACAAAGACCAATCAGTTTTATGATTATAGGTGACTTGATATTCCTAAGTAGATGTAGTAAAAAAAACTCAATCAGCAAATGCTATCCAATACTACGATGAAGAAAGTCAAGAATATAAATCAATAGCAAATTATTTGAATAGAAAAGGGGTCTATAAGAAAAAAATAATTTAGTTGTTATGGATCTTTAAGAAGTATATTATTATGCTGGCACCGTTGCTCAATAGGCTAATCCTCTGCCTTGCGGCGCCGCCACACCAGGTTCTAGTCCTGGTCGGCGCGCCGGATTCTGTCGCAGTAGCCCCTCTTCCAGGCCAGCTCTCTGCTGTGGCCAGGGAGTGCAGTGGAGGATGGCCCAAGTGCTTGGGTCCTGCACCCCATGGGAGACCAGGATAAGTACCTGGCTCCTGCCATCGGATCAGCGTGGTGCGCCGGTCGCAGCATACCGGCCGTGGCGGCCATTGGAGGGTGAACCAACGGCAAAAGGATGACCTTTCTCTCTGTCTCTCTCTCTCACTGTCCACTCTGCCAGTCAAAAAAAAAATTATATTATTCCCATTCCCATTTGAATCTCATTTGCAAGAAGCAGTATTCATCAGTTAATTATAAAGTGTTCCCAGCTAGAAGGCCCTTGTGCAGCTCTTTAGACCAGTTGTTAAAAACTAGAACTCTCTGTGATTTATATTCATTTTGGTGTATATAGGAATTTTAAGCTGCACCTAATACAGGGCTTGGGAAAAGGAGTAAGTTGAAGGGACATTTTCTGGAGTCCCAGAATGATGAAGGCTGCACAAAATTGATCAGTATAGAAATCTATTTCTGAAAAAAAAAAAACATACATTTTATAAATGTAGCACAATGTTAGGGCTTTTAAATGAAGTATTTGCTGAACTGAATTTAAAATTTTTAAAAAACTCTTAACTAAAAAATGTTTCTAACTTTCATATCATATTAGAAAGATAGATGCAGCTTTATAGTTCAGACTTCTAAACAAATAAGCAAAATCATTTAATTCAAACACCTAAGCCTTCTATAAACACATACACACATCTGTACATATATATATGTGTCTATAATATATATAAACAAAAGGTAGAAACAGGTGAACACAGAAAGCAAACCAAAGGCTGGAATCAGAATAAATGTAATTAGGGCACATGGAAACAGATGATGGAAGGTACCATGTCCTGGTGTGTCCTGGGCATGGGATGAGTAAAGTTACATACAAGGCTCTTCAGACCACTCATGGAAAAATAGAAAAGTTTATTTTGGTATAAATTTTTTAAAATCCATGCATGATTTTTAAAAATCATATGCAGTCTCCATGAACTTTTAAAACACACTCTGTATGTATGAATTTCAAAATTTTTTGCACCCAAATAAATTAGTCTTTTCAATCCATTTTCCATGAACTTTTTATATTTCGCTTGAATATGCGTATGACAACATATCTGCAAGGAAACCTGCCAAAGAAGTAAGTTGTATGGGTACCCTGGCAAGAGCAATCAGCCTGTCAGCAGGAGCAGGTGTAGGTGCTGCATAACCCTTGATCTGAACGTGACACCGCTTTCTGGCTGCAGAGCCTAAGGTTTGTGCTCTCACATTAAGGATAAGATGAAAGTATTGGTGGATGTTAGCTATAAGAATTGTTGAGTAGGGTGGCTTGTGTGGTTTGAATTTGTGCCTTTCTGTATTTTCTAAATCCTGATATTTCCCCAACTTCCGGGTTCTGCAAAGGTATCACAGGGTTATAATGGAGCCAAGAAAGAGGCTAATATCTACAACTGCATACATTTCAAAATAAATATGTACACATGCATATAATGATATAGTGCAGTCTAAGTTAATGCAGGGGTCTAAATATCAAGAAAATCTGAACTGTATTATGTATGAGATAAATATATTTGCTCTCCTCACATTTGTATACTTTTATACAAAAATAAGTTTCTGTTCAAATTTTATTGACCTGAGCAATAAAATGGACCACTCCACTCCTACAATATTTTGGTTAAGTTTTACGGTTGCTGCACACAAATGTCTTACTGATTTGTACATTTCATTTCTAAACTGGTGAATCAATTTTAAAAATAAATTGAAAGCACAAATTTAAAATCGACTCTTCTGAAGATTTTATTTTCTAGGCTTATTGTACACTTCAAATAAGTGTCTAATAATTATGTAGGGAGTTGGATTTTATATATTTCTTCTGGACAGCCATATGTGGAAAGAGGTAACTTCAGTTATAACTTGAAGTGAAAACTATTAGGATAAAATTTTTATTTTTATGTTTTTTAACTTTTTATTTCAGAATATGTTTAAGTTTACAGAACAAAAATTGTGAAGTAGTATAAACAATTTCAATATATAACACACTCCTATTCCCCTATTATTAACAACTCATAATATATTTGCCACAATTAATAAGCTCCCTTGTCTTCCTCCTTGTTATTATCCAAACTCCTCCTATCATTTTAGAAGCAGGTAAAAATGATACTCTTTTAAACAATGAAACTTTATATTAGATTTTCTTTTTCTAAAGAAAGCAGTTGTGTTTTACTCTAGAAAGTAGTAGTTAGCACAAGAAATTGGAGTACTGGAGCAGTTCTAGATCCTGGTGGTCTTGGTGGCTCCTTGAATATGTATAAGAACACTTGATAACTATGTCTATGTAAGTTGTCATCACTTGGAGAAGCTTTGGGACAGGTCAGCAAGAACTCTCCACTACTTCGCAAAATTTTGCACTTTTTTGTGAATCTAAAGTTAATTAAAACAGAAAAGGAACCAACATGATTTGGTCCTTTTTGGAAATATAAAAGAGAGGAAATATTCTCCAATTCATATCAAGAAACAAACAGTGGTCAACACTGTAATAGCAGACTGCTTCTAGAATTCCAAAAATATCCTGTTGTGATGTAAGCGACTTTGAGTAGAGCCGATGAGATAGTAAGCTGCTCTGGTCATATCTGATGTCGCCGTAGCATCTCTCACCTGTTTTCACTGTTTGCCAGCCCAGGGAGAATGGGCTGCGAGCCTGGAGGTTGTAGGAGGTGACGGGGCTGTGGTTGTCAGCTGCTGGGCTCCAGGAGAGTGTGGCCGTGCTTTCGGTGATTTCCTCCACAATCACCACCCCTGGGGGACCAGGGGGACCTATAGGAAAGGCAATGGTAAAGTTCAGTACAACTCGTTATGAGGAACGATGAGAAATTGTATTTCCAACGGGGATCCCATCAAACTATGTAATCATCTTAATGAAATATGTATTTAGTAATGAATATTGACATCAAAAAGTTATGGGATACAAGTTGCTTTCTAAGATTTCTTGAGGGGGTACTTAATTATAGACTTGATATTATTCTGAGGCTTTATGCCTGGAGGCAACTACCAATTAGCATTGTGTTTTATAGGAAAGGAAAAAATAATTAGAAGCAGACAGAAGAAGACGAATGTCAATATCAGCTACAGCTGTTGAAATCAATTGCCGCTTACAGAGGCAGCAACAGAAAATGATAGGCAGTGCTATGAGGAAAAAAGTGATCCTATTAATAAAACACACTACAGGTGGAGGGAGCTAATCTTCATGTTTATAGAACCTGCAATGTACAGACACTACTGTGTTCTATCAGGTAGCCGAGACTCTAACAAGACAGGAATGAAAGACACTACAGAAATAACATGATAGACAGTAAGGACATTTACTAGAAGAGAAGCCCATAGGTAGATTTCTGGGGGTGGGGTACAGAGGAGACTGTGATTCCTTTTTTCTGTAGGGATGGAGACGTGGTGAATGAGTTGATGAATTCTATTTTGATGATGAAAGAGTGGAATAGAATAGTGATGCTGACTTTACATGCACATGATCTGCATCTTCAGGAAACAATCATGCTCCAATTTGAGGAGGAATGTGCTATTGCATTATTCTTAAGAATAGGGATTTCTAATGGCATTTTTAGAACATGCACAACTGTTTCAATAGCTTATACTAATTTTAATAATAATTTATAATTTTAGTGGCTAAAATGCACCATCAGGTTTTCTATTGACATTCTTCTTTTCCATAGTGTAGACAATTTAAGTTGTAAGAATGCATTTATATTGAATGAAAAAACTTCCACCATTATGTATTTTCTTTAGAATCTTTATTTTTAATTGTTTGAAAGGCAGATGGAGACACAGCAATCTTCTGTCAACTGTTTCACTCCCCCAGATGCCTGCAACAGCTGGGGCTGGGCCATGCTGAAGTAGCCTGGTCCCACACGTGTGTGGTAGGAATCCAAGTACTTGAGACATCACTGTGCACATTAGGAGGCAACATAAGCAGGAAGCTGATGTCAGAAGTGGAGCCAGGAATCCAACTCTGGCACTGTGATAAGGGTTGCAGACTCCCAAGTAGCTTCTTAACCAGTGTTTCACATGTCTGCCTCTTTAAGTATTTTATTATATTCTGAAAATTTTAAAAATATGTTCTGCATTTGTCTTTCTGTGGCAGGTGGTTCTCTGCGCTTGGTGATTAGGAGGTGTAAGGAGTAAGAGCTGACGCAGACTGTGAGGAGTTGAGAGATGATTAGGTGCCAAAGAGAGGGAACAGTTCATGAAGACCTCTGAACAGAGAATAGCAACAAGGAAAGAACTGTGAGATGGAGAAAAAGTTTAAAACCCTCGCTGGGGAAACACTACTGTTAGGAAATGAGGAATGAACCAGACTGAGAACCAGCAGCGATGGCAGAGGCCAACAATTGAAAAGAAAGGGACCATTTCATTGGGAAGTGACAGAAAGCTGTGGTTGTAGGAAAAGTGGGAAAGGGCGGTCTTGAGAAGGGGTAGGTTTTCCCTACGTGAAATGATGGAAGCAGGAGCTAACAAAGCAAAGAAAGCTTTTTAGTGGTAGGGGGAGCAGTTGAAAGAGGTTGTTTTGGGAGACCGTCATTTTCCCTGTTGAGGTGAGTCATTTACTAGTTGAGGGTGATTTGATGAGAATGAGATCTGAGGCGAGAGGTTAATAGGAAGGATGGGAAACTGGCACACGGCCAAGGTGGCAGGATGCATAGCAGAGAGAATATTAACTTTGGAATAGCATTGGTGTTCAAGTTTGGTTGGAGGCTACTAACTCAGCAAGATTGGGAGAGCCATGGCCAAGATCGGGAAGAAGTTGGTAGAGCCCATTCAGTTAGGAGTTTTCAAGCATGAAACGGGTAACATGGGGTTAAGCTGCAGAGTCATGGGAAGCCAGAGGTGTGCTGTCAAACTGGAATAAAAGATAGCAATGTTGATGCCCTTATAATAGTGGCTAAGGATGCGGCGAGGAAAATGAGACCCAGATGCTGAAGAAGGTGGCTAACAAGTTTTTTACATTGGTGACAGCAGTGTTGGTGATTATCTGTAATAGTGATGGTATGATAGTGATGAGAATACTAAAAATAATGATAGTACTAGTAGCTAGCATATTCTCACTGCACTGTACTGGGTTACACCACTGTAACCACTGTTTTGAAATGTGATTTTGTTCATTTATTTCCATGTCATTGTGGTTGGGGCATAAGGGGAACTTGAAGAGATTATTTAGTTAATAAGTAGTAAATACGTTAGTCAAAACCCATCCTCTATCTTAGGCATTACACTAGGCACTGGGTTTCAGTGGGTATCCATTCATGAGGAGAAGTTAGAAGTTGTTTCCGTCAGTCACTCTGCTAGTGAATGGCAAAGCTCAGAGTTTAATACAGATCTGAGTGTAAAGTCCTTTGTGTAGAAGGAAGCAAGAAGTACAGAGTCTTGCACCTTTCACTGTTTATCTGGGGAATACCTTCCTTTGATGAAAGCATACTGTGCTATGCAAGGGCACATTCGAAGAAAGTGTTAAAGACTTCGTAGCAGCCCATGTCTAAGATGGTCACCCTCACATCCTTCCTTCCTGTACCTGAAACTCATTCTCTCATGGAGAGGTGGGGCTACTGTCTTCAACTTTTTGAGTCTGAGCTGGCCTATGGCTGTCTCACTGGATAGTGGTAGGAATGACACACATGACTTTTGAGACAAGGTCATAAGAAGTTTTACAGTTTCACCAAGGTCTTCTGGAATGCTTCCTATGGGAAAAGCCACCTGTCAAGTAAAAGGGCTGATTACACTGAGACCAGCATTCTATAAGGAAGTCCAAACTGGGCATTTAGTGGGACCCATGAAGAGAGACGGACAGCCAACTTTCCCCAACTAGTCTAGACATTTCAGATCCCCCATCAGATACGTGAGGGAAGAAGCATATCCGGCTTCAATCACCATCTGCCTGCGTCTGCATGAGTAATCCCAACCTAGAACTTCCTGGTTACACTTGGCAGTTGCCAAACCATGCAAGAAAATAATAGATGGATGTTTTTAAGCTCCTCAGTTTTGGGGCTGCAATAGCTAATTGGAATAGCTGTCAAAATACTTTGTTTTTGAAAGTTCATTGACATATACAGAGGATTCTCAAATGCTCTGTAAAAAAACCTGAAATTAATGTGTTCAAATAGCAATGATTGCCAAGAAATTCATTTAAGTTCTTTTGTAGTGTCCCATTTATTCTGTCTAATTTTATCCATTCTGTCTACTCAACCTTTTAGAAAGCATTTATCAACAACTGCCTATGAGCAAGGTCCCGTGGGAGGCACTGCAGTAAACACATAATTAATCTAAGTAATGTAATTTGGTTTTCTGAGTATTAATTATCTTAAATAAAATTATATTTCTTTAATAATAGCTAATTGTTACTGCAAATAGTTTTAAAAATTTTAACCTTGAAAATTACTGAAATTTGCAACATCAGTAAATCTCCATGTGCTCTTCTTTAGGTGTGTGTCTGCCAAAATACAGCCCTTAGCAAAATAATCAGTGACAAGGACATATATTTATGTAACCAAGGTACTGATTGTGACTATGAAATTATTTATAATTAAAAACAACAATAATCAACAATTTTCCAACAATTATGTAATATATGTTATGCATTATTATGACACAGTATTAGACAGCCTAATATTGAAGACTATTTAATGACATGGGAAATGTTCGGAATCTGAATGAATTAAGTTGAATGTAAAGTTGTACATAAATATTGTATATAGTAATACTAACTTGCCAAGGAAAAGACTGGAAAGAAATGCACTAAATTGTTGCTTGTTAGTGAGGATATTGGTGATTTAAAATGTATTCTTAGTACTGTTTGAATTTTCCAAATTGGTAAAAGCATTTGTTACTTCCACAATTATTTTAAAGCCCCATATGTTGATATGTGTTATCCTAAGTATGTACTATTTAGCTACACCCTGAACAAATATTTTTAAAATATAATAATGATGATGATAATAATAATAATATTAAAGGAAAATAAGGAAGTGTGAAGAAAGGAAGAAGAGTTGAATTTGAGTTTACAATGTTGCATAATAACAAGTTAAAGAATGTTTTAAAATATAGACAAAGATTCTATATAGGCCCCCTTTTAAATCAAAATTAAATAAAAATACATTTCAATTCTCTTTTTACTTAAGAATAAAATGGCAATAGTAATTAAAAAGTAGTTACATAAATGAAGAAAATAAGCCTTTCATGTAATTTGATATTAAGGCTTCTTAGAAAGAATTATACCCTATGAAAAAGGGTCTTTTGTAAATCTGGAAGATTTCTTACAAAAATTGTTGTGAAGCTATTCTGAAATATATTCTTTAATTTCAGAGAAATTAAACATAAAAAAATTAATCATAATAAAAGCAAAAAAGCAAATTTACTGCTATTATATTAGTATTGGCTCATTAGTGCTCTATAGGAAAAATATTTTCAGACATTAAATGTTGGCTGCAATTAACTTCTATGTATATAGATGTGAATTGGATTCACATGTTAATAGGGTTAATACCTTTGATTTTAAGTCATGTTAACAGTAGAACTATTTTTTCTACCTTCTGTCTCTTTGTTAACAGATTCTAAAAGTTTTTCTAAAAGTCGTTGGCAACTAATCAGCACAAGCCATCTTTGAAAATAGATTAATAAGAGAGAACTGTCTGAGTGATGACAAATGTGTGGCAGTAGCTAGTGCCTGGGTGTTATACAGCTGCCACTCATTTAGTAGAAATCTCGTTAGATTGATGCTTAGCAGTAATGACTCAGTGTCAGATGGGCAGTCA